CATTTTCCACTAATTTTCCCCCAAATACCTGTGCTCTGAGTAACCACTCCTCCTGTCTTCCTCTTAACTGCCTTGTTGCAACTTTTGCAGTTTTACAGACATGTCCTTATTTAGCCAGCCCACTAACAGAAACACAGATTTCCATTCAAGGCTAATTTAAAGTCTCAAGAACATGTACTCAGCTGTTGCAAAATTATGCCACTAAGAGCAATAGGCTCTGTTGTTTTACATCAGCTGAGGATCTACTTGGAGGGCAAAATAAGTGGATGCAGCTGCAGTTCTCTTCCTTGGGAATTGCCCCTCATGCGCAACTGATTGCAGGTGGCTGAGAGTTGGTATTTAGAAAGGACAAGGTTGCGGGTTTGTAGGGTTGGTTTTTTTTAATGTATCTGATGAAGTTCATTCACGTGCTCTCTGATTGCTGCCCAGGGCCTGTAACCCACCATACACCAATGCAGAGGAAAGGATGTGGGTGGAGCAAGCTTAGAAAACAGATTACCTCATCATAAATAAAACATTATCTCTTTGCCTTATCATCTGGCAGAAGAAATATAGAACTGAAAATGTGACCCCTTTTTTCTTCAAATAATACAGTGCCATTCAACAGACTTAATAACCCATAAAGACACATCTAATAATTGTTGGTCTGTCAATCAAAACTCTTATTAGACATGCACATGACGTCACATCACAGTCTAACAAATCCTCCTGCCAGTCAAAAACCTTTATATAGATTAATATGATTTCAGAGGCAAGTTTTGTGTTTGACCTTTCATTCAGCTTCTTTGGGGCTGAAATTGGAGAGAGCACGTTGCCTGGAAGGATTCTTTGCCTTGGATGGCTGAGTGACCTGGAATGGATCTGCAGTGCTACAGGAGAGCTCTTCTCCCCCTTATTCTGGTCTGTCTGTACCACAGCATTAATTCCCTGGCTGCTTGGGATATCACAAAGCTGTGCTTCACTGAAGTAGCTGCAGTGGGTTTTGAGATGATACAGCCCACCCTATGCACCTTGCTGTGGCCATGCACCCATGGCAGTGATTGCTGTGGTTTGCTAAGGGAAAAGTGTGTGAGCCTGAACAGGGAGGCATCGTGCTGACAGCCCGGGCAGTTTGTCAGCCGGTGTGTCAAGGCGCCGAGAGTGAGAAGTAAGTGCCCTAACTCACTTCACTACCACGATTTGAAAAGCAGCCCCGTCCAGATTTTCCAGACCAAACAGTGGGTATATCAAACTGCTGCGCTGTTGTGCCACCCTCAGCAGCTCTGGGCTGCATTGCACATGCTGCATGCGCAGCTTTGCGCCTGCCCAGCAGTTGTGACAGGCTCTGGAGATGCCAGATTGCCTTTGCTAGAGAGTGCAGATTAACACGGATACTCCATGTATTCAAGGCATCCCTGCAAGTGCAGCACTGGATTCCTATCTGTAAATATAACATCGTCACTGACAATAACTTTCAGTTCCTTCTCAAATGGCATTTAGTAGAAAGCAATTAATGACATTTCTGACTTCTGGAAAGATCACCTCTTCTGTTGGGGTCTCCTAGTGTCACTTCTCTCTCGCCTCCCACAACCCCATGCAACTTTGTTTCTCACCTTTATGAGGAGGAACTAATGCAAGATGATGATTATCCCATTGCACTCGACACCCTCTACAGTGCTGTAGCGTGAAAAAGGTGGTGCCTTCCCAGTGGGCTTGGCTGGCAAGTCAAAGCTCAGAGGGACTGATCCATCACAAAGCACTTGTGATCATGGTAGTGTCATATGCAGCCCTTCAAGATCTGTAGTTTGATACCAAATCTGAAGAGGTTATAATTTATCAATAGTGCATCAGACTTCATGTACCCAGTTGCACTGGCACTTCAAGTCTCTTTTGAACTGAAATAAAAGCAAATGGCAGAGACTGAAGCTTTCAAGATAATATCATTTATCTTCTGAAAATCTGCTTTTTAGGTGTCAGCCAAAACAACTTCACAATAGCTTGAGAAGATCTTGTCTGGCATTGCTGTATTTTTATTGGTCTTTAATGTAACTTGAAAATATTAGGCCTTATGGTGGTGTTCAATTTTCTATAGATTTTCAAACAGTCTGATAACACAAATGAAAAAAATGCCTGTAATTAAACATCACTCCAAAAGCTGAGACACTTTGGAGAAACCCACACAACAAGCTTCCTCTGCATGTAAAACTTCAAAGTGCTTGCTAGATTCATGAACTACAGGCAAACTCTACTGAGCAGGAAAAGTGTCAGTAAACAAAGAGAAAATATACTGCCTTCATATTTGAAGGATATTTTTCCCTGCTCAGAGGAGCTAAAACCAAAATATTCACATCTGCAGGACAAAGTGGCCGTAGTGAGGTTGACTGTGCAAGCACGACCTTCTGCAGCCAGTGTAATGGCCTCAATGCAGTTGTCTCTCCTGAGGATTGCTTTAAAGAAAAGAGGATTGCTCACAGCTTTTTCAGGTTCAAAGGCAGTTCAAAACTTTCAGATGAGCTTCAGGTATCTTCCTCAGAAGTGGTACCTACTAATGCAGATCTAGCTAGCTCCTGTGGGAAAGGAATGGCAGAGGAAGGACCCACTAGTGCAGTGGGTCAGCCCACGGTTAGCCCAAGATTAGGATGGCAGGATACCCCAGGATCCTAAATTGTGCCAAGGCTTTGTGTTTTTGAGCATCTGAATGTGCTTCGAAGCATTTTCTTCATTTTCTGCTTTGTCTCCAGTCTTTGTGCAAAAATATTTCTTCCTTAAAGCTGATATATAGTTTAACAGTTGTCCTTGAAGATAAGGCAGCGATAAGAAAAACATAACCAGCAAAGCCAAAAAGGGTGATACATGAGGTTTTATAAAACATTTGCTGGAATACAGATCATTTGAGTCATTCTCCTCTGATTCACCCATAGCTTGCAAGAAAGCTCTTTCTGCAGAGGAATTAGGCTGCACTCAATCCCTAATAAATTCAGCTGATGAGATGGCTCTACTGATCCTCTCCATCATGGCACCAGCTCTCTCTGCCTGACTCTTGGGGCATGTTGCTGCTACCAGCTGTGACAGCATAATTCTGCTCGGCACATGGGCTGTTATGTGTCCAGGGGCTCATCAGGGATGAACAGAGGGTTTATGAACTTTCTGGAGCTCATTTCCAAAAAGCCTCTTCCTCAACAGTCATAATGAAGAAACTGGGCCTTACGGGGACACTCCTTTTCGCTTGGGGTTGAAGGTTTAAACTGCTTTTCTCTCCCTTCCCTTTGGAGGAAGGGGAAAGGCTTGGAGATTAGCAACAGTCTTCAGGACCTATGGGAAACCATAAAAGCAGTCTTACTTTTTCTGGCTGATACTCCTGGCAACGGGGTCCAACAACTGCAATGATACTGAGGTGTACGACACTGCAGGGAGCAAAAAGTTGTGCAATTGTTGTCAGTTTTACTTCAATATTTTTTCTGCTGTGTTGGCCTAGGATCTTCTGTGAATCCTACCTAACGTCTGCCTCTGAAGAGTTAAAGAGGCAGCACATTGTGGCTCTGCCACCACCGAAAATTCTCCTTTTTTCTGGGATAACGTCATCTGGTGGTGGTGCCCCTTGCTTAGGATGATGCCTGACCCTTGTTATATTTATTAGAATATTTATTAGACCCTACAGAATCCCCTTCTTGTAATAAATTATATCCTCTTAATGATATATGATTTTATACAAATATTATAGTCTTTACTGAATTATGTCCAAGGGTCTGGGGAGAAGAGACAAGTGAAATGCATTCTTCAAATGTTGCCTAGAAGGGCACATCTTCATTGGGGGAAGTTTTTTTATTAACCCCTTACACAAACAGAAAATCACCATTTAATTCAGATGCCTTTTATTATAGTTTGAAGATGCCAACAAAATAATAAGGAACAAAAGGAGTTCTTTGTGCAAGAAAAAAGAAACGACACCCTGCCACTGAGGATTCAGAGGGCTTTGGAAGTGTGTTTCATTCAAACAGGAGTGTAGAAGTACTCTTAATTCAGCCCAAGAGCAGGTTAGCACTGAAAGTGATTGTCCTACTCTCTCCGTGCCTGGCCATGGGGTCCCACTGCTTCCACACAGTGGGTTGGATCAGTATGAGATGAAGTCATTGTTCTGTAAGATGACTCACATTACAAAGCTGTACCCTGGGATCCTGTCATTAAATCCCCCACAAGTGATCCTCTAAAAGCCTGCCTCTTAAGGGTGTCAGCATAGTGAAAGCAGAAGGCATTTACATTTCCCCTGAAGACTCAGTCCTTCCATCAGCCCTCAGACCAGTTTGCTGACTAAATTTTCTGTGTATTTGAATAATTTATCATACAAATAAACTGATTTATGCCAAGTGAAGAGGTGGACTACTGGGATGCAGTAGTGCCAACACAACAAAATTGAAGCTGGGGAGGTGGGGATAATGAACCCTTAACAATGGCAAGTGATACCGTCTGCTCAGGCAGCAGGAGACAGCTGTGACCACATCTGAAATAGGAGAGTGTGGGGAGGTACGGAGCAGCATCTAAACAGGGCTTTAGACTAAACAGAGCTGAGCGAAAAACAAGTTGCTCTTTTTGAACTGCAAAAATATGGTGGTTATAAAATGACTGAAAACTAAATAGCAAGTTCTATGTCTCATTCAAAATTTTCCAGTTCAGAAAGTATATAAGTAACATTCCTGTGCCTTTTACTTCCCACTGATATTTAGGAAATAGAAGCCTCAACTTCAGCCAAACAATCTGTCACCCCAAACCATTGACCTGGGCAATTGATGAATGCATGTTACAGATGCATGCAGAGCAAAAACTGAAAATTTTAAAAGCCAGATCTCAAGTAGTGTAAAGTAGCTTTGCTCCAACTTAACACCAGATGCTGATCTGCCCCGTGTCTTACACCAGTAACAGCTGGAGGAATGATGATTTGCATTCACTAAACCCTGATGAAGTCTACCTAACTAGGCATGATTTGCTCACATTTGTGGCCAGGAGATCGATTGTACCAAGCATTTTTAAAATCCCTCATTCTTTAGCTGTTCTTTGAAGAAATCATTACATGCCACAGTCAAAGCAGCGACCAGAATGACAAATTAATTAAAATCCACTTCATTGTCTTTATTGGAGTCCAGATCTTTCATAATCTCATCAACCAGAAGGGGGTCCTTTTGGCCCTAAAGAGAAAGAAAAGTGACTTAGCTGTGCAGATCTTGAATGCATAGCTCTGACACACCCAGCGCAATCCACCGCTATGTCACAAGCTCTGCTTCTATTAAACAAATGGCTGCATGGAATATGCATCTGAATATTAATATACCTCTAGCCACAGCATTAAAAATATAGGTCTGGAGTGCACAGCAATAGAAACCAAAGACAGTGCAGCTCTTAGAAGGAATACAGGTACTAAATGTGCACTGAAATGAATCTAACAGGTTTCAGTAGCTGTATTTAGATTTTCAACAGGCTATTCATAAGTGGTCATATTATTCATCTATTCATCACATTCAGAAGATCTCTACTTAGCAAACAATACATCCTATTCAGTGGGAGTAAGAACAGTGAACTTCATGATAATAAATCAATAGCAAGATTAAAAGAAAATGCAATTCAAGGAAATGGATACAATGTAAAAAAAAATCCTGCTGGTGGTGTTAGGGTCCACAACAATTTTTACAATTAAGAAGATCCAGAAAAACATCTATGAATCTGGTCATTATTCCATAAAAAGCATCCATGCTGTGTAATGCAGAACATAACAAATGTACAAAGTGGTACTCAGATCAGCAGCTTATTGCTGAAAGAATTTTCTTATCATCTCTCTGTAGCGCACACAAGCAGCTGTGCTGTATCTGTGGCCAATGTGCACAAGGTACTTTCTTGTCTCATGAGAACTAGTTGCTGTATTTAATTCTTCAAAGGACTTATCTATGTCCTGTTGTTAAAAATGAACAAACAAACAAAAAACTGATTAAACCTTGATTTAACATGTATTTTTCTACTGCTTCTAGGCTGCCCTTGCCCTCCTGCTCAAAAACACAGAGGAATAAGTTGAGCACAGGTACCTGGCTCTGCTGCTGGTGGCACGCAGCCTGGCACCGGGGCTGGACCACCCTGTGAAAACACAATTCTCACATGGGATATTTGATCTCATCTCCTTCTATACGGCTCCACAAAGACAGCTGTTATCTGAGAGGCTGTGGCAGCATGTGCCTTGCAGAAAGAGATGCTATTCCTGACCACCTAAATAGCTGCTTATCCCACCCGTGAAACAATAACTCAAGAGGTTCAGGAGCTGCACCTAACTGAAAGGAAGTCAGTGAGCTCACTGGTGAGGAGTTCCTTGAGTTCTCCTTTACTGAGCTTGTATCTGTCTCTTTCTTTGCCAGAGTAGTGATGGAAAACCCTGATCAAGGTGTCCATCGCCTCCTCCAGTGGTGTGGACATAGCAGTGAGTGGGAGAACTGCAGAGCAAAGATCCAGAGTCATAGAGATTGCACAGACGCCAAACAAAAGGCTGTTCTCGGGTAAGGGACGGAGAGCTAGCTGAGGAAAGAAATTGTTACCAGGGCTGAAAAAATGGGGTTTCAGTTGATCCATCCTGTTGGCTGTGTGTGGGTAAGGTTAGACTGTTATAAGATAAAACATTGTCCCGAACTCACTAGTGATTACTTTAAAAATTTCAATGGAAAGGAAGGCCTTCTTTAAGAAAGAAGGCAAAGCTACTGTAAAAGGAAGTCTCTTGTACCTATAGTTGAAAACACAGGCAAAATGAAGGCACACCCTGCTACCTGTTCATTCAAAAGTTCTCTCAAGAAAATGAGAACAACAAGGAACAGCAGTCAAAGTGGATGCTCATTTATACAGAAGGCTCTGCATCAGTTTCTTAGGTGGTTAGAGAAAAGTCACCAAAGCAAAGTTGCCAGTAATAAGGATAGAAGCATCAGCTTTTGATTTGTTGGTTCACGTTTGCTTGAGTTGATTCTTTTTTCCTGTAAACTACCTGGAATAAACAAATGTGAGCTAGGCACCCCCAAGGGTTTGCTTCGTCAGGCATGCAGTAAGGAGGTACAGAGGAAAGCACTACCAAGAAAAAAGACGGAAATGCAATTAGTTGCTGAGTAGCTGACTCAAAAAATAACTCAAAGCAGAAATGAGGTGAAAGGGAAACCTTGTGTTGATTAAGCCCTGGGAGACAGATTAAAAATCCACAATGAAATTCAAGGTAAGACTGGAGTCCTGAACAGTATCTCCGTGCAAAGGGTAAGACTTATCTGCTTTACAGGTTAGCTGAGGCGTATGCAAGAAAATACTCAGATCACAGAAGGTGATGGTCACCTGCCTTTCAAAACCCATGCACAGGCTCCTGTTTATCAGGCTGAGAGGGTGGATTTCACAAATAGAGACAGACGTATAATTGTCTCAAGGATGACGAGTCTTCTGTTTCCCTCTGCATTTGCCTGCTCTGTTCAATAAAAGCCACTTGCTGAAAATGGGTCACTAAAATATTCACTAGGCAGAGCAGAGGGCTGTGTGTGGAACATACGAGATATTTTTTGTCATTTGACCTTTTACAAATGTGTCCATCTGGGAGCCTCAAGGTCAAAACTAGAAAATGCTAACAATCTCCAAGTCAGTAGAAAACAATTTTCCCCCATTTTCAAAAGAACTCTTTTGAATCCTCCTCTCTGCACTTCTATAGCTGAGAGTCTAAATGCCTCAGTGCTGGAAGCCAGTGTTCAAAGATACTTCGAACCCCATTGTACCTAGGAGTAGGCTTGTAGATGAGTTTACCACAAATCCCCTGAGACATCTACCTTTATGGTCAGATGTGTCCGTTGGCTCGTGCTGAGTGATATTCTCGCTGTAGTACATGTGTCCTCGGGAGGAAATGAGGAAACCAGTTTTAGAGGAAAGTGTGCCTGAAATTACGGTGTGCACTGATCAACAGGCTTGGCTTCATTTTTACTAGTCATGCACAACAACGGCAGATCAGCATCTGTCTTATAATAAGTGATCTTCTTCCAGGAGGCCTTCCCCTGCCCTGGGCCCAGGGACTTGCTGGCCCCAGGGGCAATAGATGGGGGACACAAGAAACAGCAACTTCACCATGGTAGGGCCTACTTACCATGCAAAACACCAGACAACCACAGTTTTCATGACAGCCACATGAAATGGAAAACTGTCCAGCGAGCACAATTATGCAGATAATCAGCAAGAGGGCACACAGCTGCAGCTCTTTCTTTTATTCCAGCCAGGGGGAAAGCGAATGAAATGGCCGTTGTTTTTGGCTCTGAAAGCCTCCAGGCACTCGTAATGTTGAGTGCCACAGTAGATCTCAGCCCACAACTCTGCCTGCCTCCTATGCCTCCAGACATGATGTTTCTTCTGTCATCGTGACAAGTTGCCACAACCTGAAGGGTCTTGACTGTGCCTCTGTGAGAAGGAGAAGGGAAGGGGGGCCAACATAAAAATGCTGGATCCCAAAGGTACGGGAGGTGATGGTGTGTAAAACTGTTTCCGAGACAGTAGGCAAGCCCTTCTGGTTAGAGGTTCCTGTGGACATGTACAATACTGCGTGCAGGGTGTACACCTTCACCTCCTTCCATTGTGGTTGTGGTTGTGAGTGCTCACCAGGAATGGGGAGAGACAATGCTCAGGTAAATTTTAGAAAAGGTCCAAGCGGAAACCAGCCTGAAAATCTTGATATGCAACAAGAGGAACCTAATTCCTCCTGGAGTCAGAGGAGAGCTGGGAAGGAGAGTTGCTGTCCATACTGTATTTGGGGACAGCTAATGGGTGCCCAGTTTTGTTCAGTGGGAGTCACTGTGCTACAGCAAGCACAGCAATCTAGCTGGACCATATGCAGCACGTGGGAGAAAAACATGGTTGGTGTCAGGCACAGCACAGCTCTCCCACTCAGATCCTGGGCATTCTCTGTCTTTGCAGATACTAGCTACAGCCATGTGGGGCTATGTCTTCCCTGTGATAACTATTGCATAGAAATATTAATCACATAAATATGAAAATATTGAGGGTTTTTTGCCATTTATTCAACAACAGTTTCACCCACAATAAGAAAAAAACCCACAGCAGAGCCAAAATGTAAGTACAAAATCTTTCTGTTTATCTATACATTACATTAATACTCTGGCTGGTGAATATTGCAAATTAATTATCTAAGCAGAGTCTACAGGAGGTACAACTTCCAGGAAGCAGGTATAAACTTTAAGAGCTGCCATCCTCAGGACAGAAGAAAGAAGGGTTTCCTCTGCCATCTCCAAGATATCAGCTCAATAATTTATACAGTGATATAATCTATGCATTCTCTTTCAGTAGCCACTTTCACTCCAGCTAATTGTGTAAGAAACTCTGTGTTCCATGCTGTGTTCCATGCTAGTGGTTCCACACAGGAAATGGCTGCACTGAGCTAGTTTGTTAAGAGGTCCATCCAATTTGCTGTGTCCATCTCTTTCCTCCCTGGCTAGTAAAATCCTGCCAGTGTCTCCAGTGACAGCAGCGATCTCTAACTCCTGTGAGGACAGGTCCCAGAGACTACTCAAAATTCATGATTATCAATCAACTGTTTATGATCCTTCATCCAAAACTCCAGCACAATCTGGTTTTGTATGATATCTGATAGGTACTGAAGATAACTAAAGTCAATGCAGCCTGCAAGCACTTCTGTATCAGGGCAAGACCCAACTCCATGTCAGCAACCACCATTCCCCTATCAATCCTCCCCTGCACTCTGGTTTCCACCAGGCTAAACACAGGAGCAGCACCAGACATTGGTGACAGAGGGAGTAGGACTGCAGCATGACTGTAGACGTGGTGAAGATTGGTACCTTCCTCACTCATGACCAAACTCTGTTTAATCACAACCTGCCAAATCATGGCAGTGTTGTTGGGAAGGCACCTCTGGAGGTGCCTAGTCCCAGCTTCTGCTGAAAGTGGCATGATCACCAGTGCCAGACCAGGTCAGCCATGGCTTTGTCTAGCTAAATCTTGAAAACTGTCAAAGACAGAGGTTTCACAAGTTCTTTGGTAACCTGATCTAGTGCTGCACTACCTCCCTGGGGAATATGTTTACCCTAATATCCAGTTTGAGCATCCCAAGCTGCAATCATGGCCGTTGGCCCTTTTTGCACCATCTACTACTACTACAAAGAGTTTGACTTCATTGACTTTATAAATTCCCTTCAAATAGTCTTGGTTTCTCACTCAAACTCAAAAATAAACTTGAAAGCAGCCTGTCCCCTGACTCACCCAATCTAGTTCCATGTTTTGGAGTCCCTTTCAAAAGCGTGCGCTGCAAAATCAATACCTGTCAGAAGTAGAAGGGCAGATTTTTCACCTGGCATGGCACAAATACTGTATAGGGATGAATTCTGCCATCATTGCTCAAGCAGTAAGAGATGCTAGGCTTACAGAATGAGTCAGGCATCTGATTTCCCCGGAGGCTGCTAAGAGAGGCAAAGGTTGTTCCTTGCCCTTTAAACGTAAGAAAGGACCCAGTCAGCTACAACTTCTTCCTTTAATTTTAGTTGGGGTAATGTAGAGGTACACCCAGCTGGAAGTCTCTGTAGAACTGCTCCTCCCTTCCTACATGGAGATGGGGCAGTCAGATCACAGGCAGAAAATCTTGTCGCTGGTCTCTGCTCCTCAAAAAAATGATCAGAATTCTGCCCTGTGTGAAAGCAGTCAGCCCTTGACATAGGCCAGTAGTCTTCTTCCTCCACAGCCAGGAAGGAGAAGCTTTGGCTTCCTCACCAGGATTTTTCCTTTGTCTCTTCTTGACACAACATAACACAGGCTGCCTTTAAGCCAGAGCAGCCCATAAAGTGACAGTCTAAGCCACAGTAAAATACTGCTCAGCTTAAGTAGGAGGATCTCATACTTAGGGCATCTGGTTTTCAGCATTTGCCAGAATGCACATGAGGAACATTTTCTCACAAATAATTATTGCGCTGGGAAAGTCAAGTGAGCCTCCCACCCACATCCTATCATTATTTATTTTTCACAAACTCATACTGTTCTTAGCATGCACATCTTTTGAATCAATGTTGTACCCCCAAAGTGGCAAAAGGTGTGATGGGAAGCAACAGGGAACACTGCAAGGCTCAGAAGGACGTATATACTACACACTAAAGGGCTTACATTAGATCAGAGCCTAGATTAGACTAAAGAGCATAATAATATAGACTAAAGAGCTTATGAGAGACTTGTATTTGAACCAGTATTTCTTGTTAAGTTATAAAGAGTATTTTTACACTTTTAGGATTGTTAGCATTTTCATTTGTGTTTTATTTCCATATCTGGGTGGTTGATTGATTTATCCCTTTACGTAGGTGTGTCCCACTTCCCCACAGGTTCCGGTTCACATCTTCAAGACTCTTTTAACTGCCGTGATATCACAGGCAGCAGAATAGCAAAAAGCTATTAAA